TACTATAGGTCCAAGGTGTTCAAAATGTGCAACATTGAGGGAACCGGGCTATGTAGATATCTTTGTGTCCCTTTGGGTAGTTTGTATCGCCGTGTTTGCCTAAGCTGCATATTGTGTGGGTGGTTACTGTCTGCAGGTAGCCAGGGGGCGTGCCTAGACCTAGTGGCTGAAAGGGCAAAGGCCCGGCACAGGGTCAGTCTCCGTTCAGACAGACGTTGGAGGTCAAGAGTTGACAGGGCCTCGGAATACGAGTGATAGCTTCTACCCAGCATGATTCTGCATGCCCTTTTCTGGATTCTTTCTATGCTGTCAGATTGTTTTTTTGTGATACCCGCATTCCAACAGGGCGTGGCATATTCAACTATTGGTCGAATATACCCACAATACACTGTGACAAGGTCAGAGCTTGGGAGGCCAGCTCGACGCAGCCTACTTAATAAGTATACGATAAGATTCATTCCAACCGTGGAGAAAATAGCTGGAGGCAGAGCTTTCCCGCACGTAGAGCTCGGATACGTCTCAGGTTACGTGAGTAACCAAATCAAACAAATATGGCCGCGGTTCACTAGCGGAGGGAGCCGAAAGTCGCTGGACCGTGTTGATGCCTGCAGCACAAAGCTCAAACAAATTTTTTCTGACGTACAAGCATTTTTTTAAAATACATCTTCCTGTGGCGTAATTACACTTTAACAAAGTCACTGATGTGTATGATATGTTTTTTTCCTGTTGCGCTAGATCATGATACAGCATAATTGGCTTTAACACAATTTCTTGACGCAAGCCTTGCGAATATTTTAAGGACAGACAAGAATTTAACATCCATTGCGACCTGAACATCTATTGTTCGCCTTACCTTCTACTCTGTGAGTTTCTTGACTGGTGGACCTCCTTCCGCGACACTGCAGCTCTTCCCTTCGTGCACAATGCTGGCAATCACTGCCGGCTGTCTGACGGATATTTCCTGCAAGTACAGAAAGCAGCTTTGCTATAATGAGGCGCCTACGCGGTTTGAAAGAAGCATGCATATGTAGGGTTCTGGAGGTTGCTATGCGTTTCTTCTTTGTTTGCACCAGGAAATTGACGTTGGTTCAATATTTCTCATGCTTGTCACCAGGGTCTGGAACCACAAACTCATTAATATCAATATAGCACCTTTGTGTAAACAGTGCGCCGGCCTAATGCCGTAAGTTGACACCTGTGTACACTCACTCATGACAGTGTAATATTCCATTCAAAATCATTGACGCTTCAGCTGAGGTGTTTCTAATGGTGTTTCTTCTTGAAATGTAGAATTGAACGCTGGATGTTGACGCCGCTACTTCTTTTTATGTGTATATTAGCGTGGGGATGGGAGAGTTACAAAGTCGTTACAGCTAGTCACTGTAGCCAAGGGTAAATATTTCATAGCTATGAACAACAATAAAGAGCTGTCGTAGGTATATAAAAGGTACGTAAAAATGCCAGTCACAAAATTACATTTTGTGTAGCCTGCTCAATACCTACTCCTCTCTACCCCTATAGCTTTACACCAACATGATCCTAAACGCTTTAATTTCTAACTCTCATAAGCCTGAAAGTCGGAGAGTAAAAAAAAGACCTACCGGCCATTGGACTGCAAGACTAGTGCAACGCTTATCACATGAATTCTAATTTCTCAAGTTTGGGTGTAAAAGTATATGTATATTCCAAATACAATCGTCTAAATACAGACGACTAACTCCCATATGGCAATACCTCCCATTTTAAACCGCATGTTTGGAGACAGGAGAAGCAGATATTGGCCCCATGAGGAACAATTAAAATGAATTGTCGCTTCGGTTAGCTCGGAAAATAATGTGGTTCTCATGGTGCAACACGCGCGACAATGATGACGAGAGTAGAAGTGTTGTAATTGAGTTGTTTGCGTCAAAACGCCATGTTTGTACGTGCTTTGGGTACGCTACTCTTTTTAGTCGCCACAAAATGCGGCTCGTTTGGAATACGCCTTGTATTGTGATGTATCGCTTACTATACGCACTAGAATTAACCCCATCTGTGCAATTAGATGGATCACCTAGATTTCTGAGAAACGCACACGGTTGCATGGTTTTGCAAGACGTGTGCGGCGGACTAGTACCCCCGAGACCAACGCCTTTACCGCAGCTCTTAATGACTGATCTTGAATAATGTAGGATCATTGTCGGAAGATGAACCATGTTAAAACACAATATGCTAGAAGAGACAGACTGAGTAAAGGAATAAAGAGGGTAGGTCATGAACAGTTTAGAATAAAGATCACATCAATCGACCACGACAGCTCCTCATCGCCTGTCTTCCCTGCCTACCAAGGCTTTTTGTGGTGCTGTTTTACCGTATCCCCAGTGATTTCACTGATTGAGGGCCTTTTTCTAGGGCGCCTAGGACGCAGTAGGTCCAATGATTAATCCGAGCGCTAGAATAATCCTGGATGGAATGTGCGGTTAACCTGCGGTTTACGGAGAAAACAACGATTACCAGTTGGAGCGTCTCATCAGTACAGACTTGCCTCGCAACAGTTTTCAGCATCGGCTTCAGTAAAAGGTTACCGGTAGCCGCAAACTATAATGTGGTACATATATATGTACTATACATGTATGTAGTTACATACATGCAAAGATTAGCTACACTGCCGACATATATGTTTGTGCGTGATATTTTTTTTTACATCTTCAGATCTGTAATACAGTCAAGCTGAGGGATGTTTCTGGTCAACTATGTAGCTTACAGAATCCTCCATATTGCTAAGCTAACCTTAAGTGCGTTTGCGAGCAAACATCGTCATTTGTAACGGGTAAACAATGCAGTATAATGCCAATTCAAAGAAAAGTGAAATAAAATGGCGGTGCGTGGAACCTTTAAGAATATGCCGACGTCTGAAGCACAACGAGAAGTACTAGTTTGCGTGCGCGACGACATAGCGAACTGTACTCACCGCCGACATCACCAGAATAGGAGCCGGAGTGCTCTCTAAATATGTTTTAGTAAGTGCACGTCGCAGCTTCGGCGGGGTGAAACATCGGGCCAACGCGCTTTAGAAATGGAACCCTGCCCCAAAGCTCCGAGAGACCTTCAAGCCAGTCAAGTCAGCGGGCGGAATAAATCCCCTCGGTCATTAATTCCACATCATTCATGAAGAAACAACATTAATAGACGATCAAAAGCGACTGCGCCGCGTTTAGAAGGACGCAGTTGTCAGAATACCCTTTCAAACTATCCAATATACATGTATGC